GTTGTGTTTTTCTGGGGGCTCAGGGGAAGAATCTGCCTCCAAGATCATTCAGGTTCTGGGCCACATCTGCTTCCTGCGGCTCTAGACTTTAGATCCTCGCGTCTTGCTGACCGTCAGCTGGGGCCCAGGCCTAGGTCTGGGAGACTGCCCACATTCCTTTGACGGGAAAGCCCAGGCCTAATTGAGGACTGGGTCAGGCCAACTGAGGATAATCTATCTTAACGCCAATTTATTTGGGACCGTAATTACATCTGCAAAGTCCCTTCAAAGCAGCATCTAGATGAGTGTTTGCCTGGGAGAAGGCATTTGTACGCCAAGGGCTGGGAGTCTTGGAGGCCATTTAGGAATTCGGCCTGTGGCAGACTGCTTAGGAAACACTCTCCAGGCTAGCTAAGTGGTTCTCCAGGGTGGTGGCACCCGCCCCTTGTGAACGTGTTGGAAATTCGTGGGCAAATATTTTGCTGCTGCAGTAATGACGGAGACGAGGGGCAGGTCTCACTGGCATGCGGTGCTCGGGGCTGGGCTGGGCAGGGCAGCCCCGCACAAGGAGGGCTGTGTGCGGCACCTCACACAGCTGCGGGACGTCCTGTAGGCACCCTCCTCGATGGAGAAAATCTGTGTATCATTTTCTGAACTTCTCTATATTTTTGCAGTTTTAAACTCGTCGAGATAGAAGGGACTTCATTGAGCTTTGAGTCTATTTATTTTTTTTAAATGAGGAAACGGAGACCAAAAAAGGAATTAATGCCACCCCTCTCGTTCAAGCCAGTGTTGGGACCAGGCCCAGTTCTCCCAGTGGAAGTGTCAAGTCCGTCTCTGTGAAACTACTGGGAAATCAAGTTACCTTGAGCGTTGAGGAAGATGTTTTCCTAAAGAGCTGAAATAGCAATTTAATGTTAGTTAACTCCACTCTTTTTCTAATGTTAAGACAGATTTGAAAGCAAGGTTGACTATATCAAAGCCATTTTATCTGGGATAACATATCTAACTCCACATCGGCAGAGGAAGCATTCATTTAACAAACTTGTGATTTAAAGTTAGTACTGCTTATTTCCATACTTATGATAAAATACGACCTGGGCAAAATTACGAATAGCCCAAAAAGCAATTCACAAGGCTCACTTAGGCCAATTTATATGGGGACTGGTTAGTCCAGCCCAAAACAGTGGGCCAAGTACTATTAATACAGGTGCCCATCTTGCCCACAAAGGCCCATTTTTCTTTCCGGGCTCAACTTAATTCAAATCTATTTAGCTACAAAATTGCCATAAGCTTTCCTCTGCTGCCACCTACTGCATATAATGAGAATAGCTTTGAATAAAGTTTCTGTGTTCTATTACTCAGTGTTTGGATGAGACCAGGGAATTGTTCAAATTTCTATGTTTTGTACTAGGAGGGCACGTTATCCATATCATTTCTCCTGCTGAGACTTCTCTACTTTCTTTCTCCTTTGTTCACACTCAAACACACTCCTCAACTCTCAGTTTATATTAATATAATTTACTCAAGGCGTGCTCACTATATACTAAGCTCTATGTGCCTTAACTCGATCCTCACAGTCCTGTAGGAAAGGTCCTGTTCCCACTCGACTGAACTGCACCCGGTAGCCTGACCACAAAGGAAACTCACAGCAACCCATCCTTAATCGTGTCAGACCACACCTTGCCCCTTAGTGAATGTCAAGCCAAGCCAAGAAATCCAACAGGTGAACGACTTAATGCTACTATAAAATGAATTAATAAGGTCATATCATTCCAGGGACAAAGTAACTAACTTGCCACAGGAGCACATCAAGACAGCATTTAACGTGGCAGGGTGTGCAGGAACACGTCCCGAACAAGCTGAGGTTTAGAACATGAAGGTGATTATTTAAGAGTTCTAAAGTAGCTTTGTAACAGAGGCTGTCAAAAGCAGAACAAAGCCAAAGACAAAAAATGAAGTTAATAATTTGTACTGGCTTGTTATAAAGAAACTTGAGAGTAAGCTAGAATTCACCAGCAGACGCTCAGTACAGAATTCTCAGTCCTAGGGGAAATATGTAAGCTTCTGAATTATAAAAGTCACATAGTAATTTTAGAAAGCTTAGAAAATGAGCATACGAAGCTAAAATCGCCCGTAATCTCAATATCCAGAGATGGGGCAGACCCACGCTTTTGAGAAACTGCAAATGTCACAAGGACACACAAGCCAGGACACTGGAGGGCCTATCAAAGGGCGGGGCCTAAAGCTTGAACTTCACCTGAAGTCCACCTCTTCCAGCAATCAATATGTTGTGGGCTCCGAGAGCCAGTCTGCTCGGGGTTTGAGTATCAGCATCCTTTACAGCCAGGTGACCTTGGGTGAGTTGCTTAAGCTTCACTGTGCTTTAGTTTTTATCTGAAAATATAAGGATAATGTTTTCAATCTTTTATGATGACTGATTTTCTTAGAATATAGTAAGCATTTAGTTAGCTATTATGGTCCTGTCTTTTCTAAACAAATGTATACACATTTTACAAAACGATCTCACTCGTTTCATGAATGTTTTCCCAAAGGGCTCTGTAAGACAGACCAAGTACTATATACTGAATAGATATAAAACCTAGACGCAGCAGGACATTCTGGGTGTTAGTTAAAAGGGGGAACCTTGGTGTCAGGTGGCTTTGCCTGTGGAAAACACTGCAGTCACCTTCATCACGAAGACTAGTAACATTCTAAGGAGTAAGTTTGGGGGCCATAGATCTTTGATAAGATATAAGATGTCAATTAAGAGGGCTTGCTGGGTAAACAAGGGCCTCTGCATTGCACAACTCCTGGGGGGGGGGCTGCCTTCATAAGGAATATAGTCAGTGGCACCCCCAGGGTGCTGCATGGCCCAGGCCTCAGGGACACCAGTGGGAAGTTGGTGCCAGATGGAATCTTCTAGAGTACAGGCCCTTCCCAGGCATCTTCTTTCCGTATTGTGTTTATTTGAACAGAAAGCAAGGAAGATGAGGGGGAGGGTACTTCCTTTGCCCAGAGTTCAAAGACAGGTCTGATGAGCCGGAAAGCCTGTTGTAGTGACTCCCAGCTTTAGGAAATCACTGCAGGGTCCAAGTTTCAGGGACTGAGAGAGAGAACCTGGGTATGTTACTGAGCCTACATGCCTATTTCCTCAGTAAAACCGAAATGTCTGTCCCTCCTGGGGTACAATTACCCACATACGTCAGCCATCATATAACTTTCCACAGCGCGGCATGCGAAGGCATGGGAGCATTTGAAAGCATTTGGATAAATATGCTTCTCACACATGAAGCATGAAGTCTTACAACCACCACCACTAAATGTAGCTGTGGTTGAGGCCAAAAGCAACCTTTCCCAGCTATTAGCAGAAACAAGCTTTGTTTTGTTTCCTTTCCGCAACATCCAAAGCGGCTGTGCAGAAGTGCCATACCCAGTGAGACTTGAAAATGCATGCCTCTGGTTTTAAGTCTAAGTAATTAGAATCACCTGAATCACTACATAGTTTTCCAAGTTAAGAGAATGTTAACAGTGTGGGGGGTGGGGAGAAAGGCAGCAAAGGGGGAAACATTAGGAGATCTGTAATAGCATAAACAGAAAAAAAGGGAAAAATAAAACAGCATCCAACAGTTAAAAAAAATGTTAACAGTAGTGATCACTTTACTCCTAGGAACCAATGTATTCTTCCCTGAGAGGTTAGCATCGCAGCTATCGCCACAGAGTGACTGGGGCTGAAAACTCAGAGGCAGCCGAGACTGCTGTCTGGACCCCTGGCAACAAGCAGGGTGATGAAGCTCTTCTGGGAGGGTCCCAGGAAGAGCGGGGTGCACGGGGTTTCCTCCCCACTGTCCTTCACTCCCGTTAACTAGAAAGGCACTGTTACCGTACATTCAAGTATCAAATGTTGAGAACGGTTGTCATTTAATCTTTAATGCATATGTGTCTTTATCCATAAAATAGTAAGGCTTAACAAGAAATGGCAGACATTTGTTAAAATAATTTCTAGAAAGCAAGGAATTGCTGGGGAGAAAAAACTACGTTGATTGGGGTATGTCAAACGGACACAGGAAGCAACTGAAGTAATTTTCAGTGGTCAAAGCTAGAACAATTCCAGTAACAAATTGTTAGTATTGGGTTATAACTCAAAGCATAAAAATAAGTATCCATGAATTCATACTGATATAAATGATCAAACAAATAGGAGAGAAGAGACAAACCTCCCTTGTAAAACAATTGCAAATAATTTAGACACTCCACCCACAAGGAGCTAGGGCATAATTCCACTCCTTCCCCGAGTTCGGGATGCAAAGACACCCTCCTACCAGAAGGGTCTGGAAGGCGGGAGGAGTGGGAAAAGTAACCACAGGGGGAACACTTGACAACAGTCACCTCAGTCAGGTGATCGAGGTCGGTATCAAGAGCAAGAATCATGTTGACAGCATGTACCCTTTAAACGTGACAAAAATGGCACTTCAGCTGTGTGGTCTTCCTCCCCCAAAACACCGAACCCCAGCCTCATTAGGAGAAAACCATCAGGCACATCCTCGCGGAGGGGCATCCTACGAAACACCCGAGCAGCGCTCCCCACGGCTGGCACGGTCATCAGAAACACAGAAGGCCTGAGAAATGACCACAGCCCAGGGGAGCCCAGTGAGACAAAACTAAATAAAATGTGGTATCCTGGGCGAAAAGAAGGGTATCTTGTAAAAACTAAGGAAATCTGAAAAAGCTATGGGCTTTAGTCATTAGTAACATTATCAATATTTTTATTAATTATAACAAACACATCACACTAAGGTGAGATAACAAAGGGAGAAATGGATAAAGGGTCTTATGGGAGCTGTAACAGCTTCTAAATTTTCCTGTAAATCCAAGATTGTTCTAAAAGTTTTTTTAAGTATTTCAAAGTTTACAAGTAAACAATAATATAAATATATAGAAAAAAAGTCTAGCCAATACCTCTATACATTGAAATGTATTGAAGGGAATGTAAGAGAAAAAAAACAGTTTAGGCTTCTCTCTTATCAGCAGAAAAGTTTTATTACTTATAAGGACAAACAAGTCATACCACATCCAAGGCCTTACCTTACAGACACAAACCAAAGTAGCCATTTAAAGCATGAGATATTGAGGTACGAGACACACAGTGCGGGAGATGCTTCGCGGTCTGAAGCTTACACCAAACTGCTCGTCGACAGCTGAGCTCTGCTAGCGCCTGGGTGTGGCTGAGGGGGAGTACAGCTACAGAACCAAAGGGGAACAGCTGTTTTCTACAAGTACTAAAGCATTTTTAAGACTGCATTGGTAGGGACATATTTTGATGTTGAAGGAAAGAGGGGAAAAGAGCTTAGTCCCTCCCCACGGGGCATTAGGCAGCCTTGCAGAGGGCCACGGCAGAGAAGCGGACTTCCCCTTGCTCACGCTCAGTGAATTCTCGGCAGACCTTGGCGGCATCCTGAAAAGGAGGAATGGCATTAACATCCAAACGGCAACAGCTCGGAATGAGAAAGTTTCAAAGGGAAAGTACCAGCAAAGCCTATGAACACTCAAAGTTCACCCTAGTCAACTTTAAACTTCCCCTGAAACTTCAAAACCAGGGTTCAAGGCAGGAGAAGAAAATCACGTGATGAGCGAAACGAGCTTGCATCACAGATCTGACTTCAGAAGAGTTGACTCCTTTCTTACTCCCACCCAGTGCTGTTATCCCCACCTGTGCCTGGGTTTGGCAACAAAACTATACTACTTGTGGTCTTTTTCTCAAGTCAAAACTAGAAAATTGATCTCTATTCTAAAGGGGAAAGTTCTCCTAACTCAGAAATTCAGAGTGGAGACAAATTTTTTCAAAGTAAACATTTTACAAAAGAGCCTTAAAAGCTTCAATACCTGGTACTCTAGGTACAGACTAGTGATGGGTTGCTAATTTTAAGGCCCAGATTACAAAGATTGGTAACAGAAAACTGATCCCAATAGAGGCATAACTCGTTTTACTGCATTTTGCTTTACTGAGCTCTACAGATGGTGTGCGCTATGTATTTTTTTTTTTTTAGCAAACTGAAGACTCCACCAGCAGAAAGATTACGACTTGCTTTACTGTGATAACTGTTTTACCACACAGATCTGGCACCAAACCCACAATATCTCAGAGATGTGTCTATATTAGTTATTTACCAAATTCTAGGTTTTAAAAATGACTGGGGATCATAAATATCAATCCCTCTGTTCAACAGGCAAGGGGTCAAGTTGAAAGAGAGCTCCACAAACCCCATAATGTAAGTAAGATCTTTCGGAGGACAGGTACTACTCTGGCAGAACATCGGCTCCCAACGACGAGAAATCACTGCCTCGAGACTGAAAGACCCATCACGGCAGTTTCACTCCTGCTCTGAAACCACTTAGAAAATCTCCAGTGAGTCCGGATTGACAGCTACATTTGATTCTGTCCGAATGTTTAATACACTGATATTCCAGACCCTAAGGACTTCCCCACAGTGTGAAGAGTATGAAGCGTGGGCCTCGAATGCCACCTCCTGCGCAGACAACGAGCCGTTACCTAAGTCATTCAGGTTTAGAACAGTTGGGTTAAAAATACGTTATTTTCTCTCTGGCTTAAGTAAATTCTGTGTATAGTCTGAAAAACCTAAAAAAACTCCTTTAACCACATAGAGTCAGCCTCACTCAAGAATTTTCACTAATTAAGATACTGGTTTGGTTTATACTCACTTAATTTTACATGAGATTCTAATGACAGGTTTGTTTTGTTTAGAACAAAAAAGTTTTACCTTCCCCACACCTCGTAAGTTCTACTCACGTTAACAGTTGTATGGGTCCCATGTGGGGTGCATTTCACATTATCAGTATCATGTTAAATATGTTAGCCTGGGCTTCAGAGCTTTATTTGGACAGTCTTTGCCCCAAATGGGCCATGGCCAGATACTGTGCCTCTGGTCTCATTCTCTCCCTAAATAAATGCTGACTCTCTCATGCAAACTCCTCTCATCCTGCTTCTCTAGGTCCAGTTCTCTCTCCTTCTTTATCACTATCCCCATTAACTCCCATACAGCCAAGATTTAGCTTCAACTGCTCTTGGGTGCATCTATCAGCAAACTGGAGAAAGTGACCCTCCCTCCTAGAGTGGTACCGCTTGTCCCACGGTACCTCAAAGCCGTGAGGTCTGTCATGTTCCAAAGACAGGTCTGTTACAAAGAAAGGCCGTCTCGTACAGTGACTGGGAGTACAGGCTCCAGGGACTGACCGTCCAGATCTGAGCCATGGCTCTGCCGTCTAAGTCACTGACCTTGGGCATCACTTCTCCTCCTCTGTAAAATGAGAGCAAGGATACCCGTCCACAGTATCCTTCTAAGGATACTGTGAGAGCTCTGTGGAGGGGTCAGCAAATTGCAGCCCGTGGGCCACAAACAGCCCACAGCCTGTTTTGTGACTACAGTTTTGGTGAGCCACTGAATTTGCTTATCCAGTACCAGTGGGCGGCCCTGGAGCTCAAACAGCAGAACTAAGTACTTGCAATGGGGCCATAAGCCACACGAAGCTAGAGGCCTTCTGTCTGAAAAAGTTTGTCAACCTCCAGTCTACACACAGCAAGTACTGGAAAAGGTTAGCTGTTAGTACTACAAATGCAGAAGCTCTATGTTAACAGTTTTTATTTCATCCCAATTAAGCAATTTCCTTTATAAGAGAAAACTGACTGAACTGTAGAGATTCATTTTCAGGGTGAAGAGGCCTAGAGCCGTCTACCAGCTCTGGTCCAGGATGAAGAGGTTTCTGTAGTCACTTGTACCAGGACAGGGACACTGTGTTCCTGGATCTTCAAGTTCTTGTCGGGCATGTTTTGAATCTGCTTCTCTCATCCGGTAACAGGGGACCACGTGGGAAGAAACCGCTCCTGAAGCCAACTGCCTAACCAGAACCCGTAACAGGAACACACTACCTACAAAACTGACCCAAACCCAGCAGTCTGGGAGGGGTGAGCAAAGGCTCAGGTTTTGGTTCCACAAGTTACGACGGAACCTGATGAGAGGACAATGGTCACCTTAATCCCGCAAAAAGGCAAAGCAGTGGCTTTCGGGCTATTTCTAACTGTGGGCTAAAGACAGCACATGACACAGATTAGTCAGGGCTGCTCTGAAGGATCCTGTTTAAAACCACTTGCTATAAAGTAAGGTAGACAGAATTACTAAGATGATCTTTACGCCCCAAAGAACGCTATTAACCCAGATGACTGTTATTAACCGAGATGTGACTGGTACCAGCTCTACTAAAAAAGTGTTAGCACTTTGTAATAGGTAGCTTGACTAAAGACACCTGGGCCCTACTGGGGATAGAGTCTCAAACTTACCTGCAGCAGCGAGTCCTCCGCGCTGGTGCCATGGTTCACTGGAAAAGGCATTCGTCCATCTGCAACAAAGAAAGAAGCAGGTGTCAATTTTCTCTGCACATTTTTTGGCTACTGTATTTATCCAGCCTAAAGAGAAGTGCAGGGTTCTTTCAAATACCACTGCCTTTTCCACAAAGCAAGCGTAGTTATAAAGCAACAGGCTGGAAATGACACGAGGGTACAAGTAACACAATTCCACAGCCCAATCCAGCCACCGTAACTGAAGGACTTGTGCCCCATCTCTGGAAAGAGCCACAGAGCAAAAGGCAGATTCAGTCTCAGAGGTGCAGGAAGGTGGAGGCAAGAAGGGCCCCCTGAGGTTGCTCTGGCCCCTCAATGACCGCCGATTAGCTCACACACCCACAGGCAGTGTCTGGACCTGAGGCAACAGAACTTTCTCCATCAATACAAACATGGCTCTAAGAAGATGGATAATCTTTCTTGCTGCCATACACCAGTTCACAGAAATTACCCCAACGTGTGCAAATCCTTTTTACCCAAACAAGGTCATACTTAGGTACCTGTCTTTTTCTCAAAGTATTCCCTTTCTGAAAGGCTGATGCCAGTCACACCTGACCCATGGTGGTCTGGTCTCTTCACGGGTCTGTGGCTAAAGCCGCTTATTTGGCAGGCAGTTGCCCAGCAGGGGTGCTCTGGGCAGCGTAAAGGGTTAATTCCCCCCATGAGAATTCCCTGTTGCTCCAGCTTCATACACAATGATATACTGAAGTGCTATAAAGTTACATGTCGTTTCTGTAAAAAGGAATTTGGTATGGACTGATGAAACAGTATTAGATTTCAAAAATGGAATGCGACATACCAAGTTCATAGAGGTGGCCGTCCACGTTGTTAAACAGAATGAAATGGAAGTTCACTTTGTCATCTGCCTGAAGAGAGGCGAGACATTTTTTTGAAAATAAGTATTTTATGAAGCAGAACTTAATTTGCTAAACATAAATGTAATATATTATAAATAAGTATAATATGCTTGAACCAACTTGCTTTCATATTTTAAAAATTACTATAGGTAACATTTAAGGATTTCCTATCTATGAGGCTCTAACCAGGAGCCCATTAAGGCGGACAGATTTAGCCGCCAGAACTCTAGGACTTCCCTTTTACTGAGGAGGAAATGAAGGCTTAGGGAGGATAAGGATCTCATCCAAGGTCAAGACTAGAAAGTGGCAGGGCAGATTATCACTACAGAGGCAGAGTAACTGACTTAAATCTAATTTTACAGTCGACTAGAAGGCTCTGTTCAGATTAGTAGTACATACAAGCCTTCTAGAAACTGCCAGTCCATGTTTGTACATCTTACTGCCCCCAACAGTACGTGAGAACATCTGAAATGCTCAATTATTAGGTGAGGTGTTACTCTATTAGACTCATTTAGATCTCAACAAAATACTATCAGTTTGAACTTACTCCAGACTACGTCAATTAGATTTCTGACAGCCGTTTTTATAAACAGGTCTGGTCAGAGCCTTATTCCAGTAGGATTTTTTGGTGTTCCTGGCCTTGGGTGGAAAACAGCATCTGCCGCGTTCCAGTAAGAGGTTACTTCATGCATCTGAGGGAAACCCAGGTGGCACTGGGGCAGCCCGGCCCTGAACTGCGTTTGCACTCACCCGACACTGGCCTTCCTGTGCCACGGCATCATGGGCAGACTGAATGGCCTGAGACAGAGAGAGAATCGTGAGCACAAACACTTCCAGAGTTACTGAAAAAACAAAAAACAAAAAAAAACAAACAAACAAACAAAAAAAAACGATGCTCTGGAACTTTTCTTCCTACCTCATTCTTTTCGAAGCATTTTGCTCTGTCTTCAGGGGACAACTTCTCCGTTTCCGAGAGAAACTGTTTCAGAACTGACCCATCCTCTTTAACAACAACAAAAAAAAGCTCATTAGTATAGATAAAATAGTGCAAGTGAGTGCATTTACTGCTGATTTAAGCTGTCGCACAGCCAGCCATGTTCAGCAACCTGAATTTTCGCTGTGGCCTCTAAGGACGTGGATGAGTTGCACCTTCTGCACCAGCCTCTTTTCCCACCACACCCTGGGCACAGCGTTCAAGCCAGGGAGCCCTCCGTGCCTCCCATGTGCCAAGCTTTCCTGCACCAACTGCCTTCACCTCCCACGTCACGTTCATCCCTCAGACCTCTCATCGTCACCTTGTTAAAGCACGTACCCATCTGTGGTGTGTATTTGTGAGCTCTTTGGTGCCATAAAGACAGAAACTGTCTTGTCTACTGCTTTTTCTCCAGAACTTGGCAATGCACAATTAATGTGAATTGCAGACATAATATTCTAACCTAATGACAGCTCTCAACCAAGATTTGTGTTTCAGGATAGAAAATGTATGCTTGGTACCCAGTCATCCAGACAGACATCAACCTAAGGATCTTAAATAGAAATGTCACGGGCCAAATAGTCCGGCCTACAGACAGCGGACTGGCTGACAGTTGGAGTGAGTGTTCGGTCACTGCTCAGTGTGTGAAGTCTAGGAGACACTGACTACCCAGCTAAAAAGCAAAGGCACTTATAGTACAAAAGACCTCAACTTGAACTTCCAGGTCTAAGTGTAACAAAAGTAACTTTGTTAAATTGGAAGGATTCAAACTGGGAAGTGACAAGAGTCCTCTTAAGTGGATGAGGAGGGCTGTGATTCAGGCTCAGCCTTGGGGACCACCGGACCATGGTTACAAAAAAATCATAGTATCTCTGCTGACCTCAAGAACACAGGAGCCTGAATATAGTGAGACCAACTACAGAAGAAACAGAAAGGATTACATAAGCTACAATTTTCTAACATGACTCCTTCAAGTTAATTTTGGGGAATAAAAACTTCTAGAAGATCTGGATATTTATGGCCAGGCAGATAGTTCTTTGTTTGTTTTCTTAATTTCAAAAGTATACCAGTAGTAGAGTCTTGGCCACACGTCCCTTGTAAAAAAAGTATATATTTTACCATGTGTAACATGCCCCTTTTTTGTCCAAATTTTTTTGGGAAAAATAAGGATAAGCATTACACATGGGTAGTACCTGAAATACCTTGTTACCTGTTCTTAGGTTTTGTGATTATTTGTTCCATAAAATTTCTTGTACCATAGTATGTTAAAAAATAAATGCCAAAATTCCTTAAACAAATATCTAAATATAAATAAATAAAACACTGAATTAAAAAATTAAAACAAAAGATTTTTTCCTGAAAGTTTGGACCCAAAACATGAGTGCACATTCTACATGGCAAAACACAGTATTTTCACTACAAGCAACAGTGTGGATGGACTGTTAGTTGAAATTATTCAGTTCGCAGCCACCTCATCTACTGTCTGAATCAGATTACTGCTGTTGCTTTTCGTGAAACACGTTCTACTGGACCACAGCCACACCCTCTGGTTTGCACTGTGTCTATGGTGCTTTTGCACTACAAGGGCAGAGACCCTATGGCCCTCAGGCCTGGAAGATTTTACCCCCCTGGCCTTTTAAGAGTCTGCTGACCCCCTTGGCCTAGATCAGACATAATGGCAATGTATTTAACGTTATTTTAGTGCTGCTAATTAAGCCCTGGACAAGCTTTGGGGCTAAGACTCACTCATTTCTTCTACATCCTCCACAGCATCCACTAAAGGTAGGCCAAGGCTCTGACCTGACTTTGTTCAAAGCGGAATCCTTTCAAGGTTCCACCCGGCTGCTAGGCCTCTCTGCAGGAACTTCCACAACTCTGTGCCCAGCTGCTCTAAGTGGTCTCCTGATGCTTATGAGACACAGAGCCACTAAAGACAAGTTCCAACTGTTGACATCTTACAGCTTAACATCATCTCTAATTCTTCAGAATCACTGAGAATTGGACACGTGAGAATCACGACAATAATCAGCACCAAGTGTTCTTTATCCTTCACCTGAGACCCATCTAAGCTATCTACAAATGCTGAGCATATACAGAGCTGCAGTGCAAAACTCTACCACTCCCGCTCCTGGCTGATGTGGCTCAATGGGTTGAGCACTGGCCTATGAACCAAAAGGTCGCGGGTTCAATTCCCAGTCAGGGCATATGCCAGGTTGCAGGCCAGCTCCCTTGTAGAGGACATGCAAGAGGCAACTAATCGATGTTTCCCTCCCACATCAACATTTCTCTTCTTTCTCCCTCCCTTCCCCTCTCTAAAAATAAATAAAATCTTTAGAGGAAAAAAAAAACTTATCACTCCCTCTTCCTCTCTGGTTCGAAGAAGCCAAATCATGCTTTTTAGAAAGTAAGTCTCCCTCCCTCAAAAGAGAGAAACAAGAATTCACTCCCTGATTACATCTAGATAAGTTGGTTTCAAAAATTTTGAAGGCAATGACTTTGCTGAGTAGACCACTGCGGGGGCGGGAGACCGGGGAGCATGGGTTTGGAATAAAGAGCGATGGTTAATTCGAGGTCAACCAGAGGATCAGTGGCCTCAAAACACACACTTACCAAACTCCAGTTTGTCCTGATTATTGGCCACTGCGTGGATGAGCCCGATGGTGCCGCAGGAGTTCCCGATGGTCTGCTTCATGAAGTACACCTTCGGGCTGACTTCTTGTCCCTTCAGCTCTTCAATCTGCTTTTTCCTGAAGTTCTCATGCTGTGAGTATAAAAACCATGTGAGTATCTCAAAGTGGAAATGCAAAGAACAGACGGCAGCACAGTAATTTCTACCACCTAAATGGAAACACGAGTAGGATGTGTGACCAGCAGCCTCAGTTCTAGATACTGGACAGTGCCCAGGGAATGGCCTGTCTGGCTCCCACGCCCACGCCAGCCCATGGGGTTCTGAGAGACTCCACCCGGATGCTGCAGTGCAGTAATGGCCCTGGATGTTGCCCAAGGCTTTGTCTAGACACCACTGCAGCCTTTTAGCTGGAAATGCATGGTGTCACAAAGTCAAAAAAAAAATTAGACAAGTTTATTACATAACCTAAGGATCTCAAACAGAAATTGTAAGGAACCAAAGAATTTTCTTTCTTTAGCATGAACAATGACTGTTTCACACAGGTATGATCCCGATCAAGCTTTGGTTAAAAATTCCACCCAGTTTATAGCTCACTATTCTTTAGCATTGTACCTCTATGCTACCCAGGTATACTTCTCTTAAAAAAAACAAAACAAGCCTTCACTGTTGAAAGGTGCAATTTAAAGAAAGTTATGATGCTCTCCCCCTTTTTTATGAAGAAAAGACAACCAGTCTAGGGTGCTGGCTTGGCTGTGATTTCACAAAAACTCCTCATCCTGTGAGAGGAAGATGCGACACTTGCCGACTACAGGTTGAGGCCAGATTAGCCATGGGAGGTGGGGAGGAGGGTACAGACTAGTAAACAAATGCAGCTAGAGGCAGTTTTGCTCAAAGCATCCACTAGCTCTTTGTGCAGTCATTCAGTGGGCCTGTCTGAACCTTTCACTAGCACGTTTTAAAGACCCTGCAGGTATAACTCCTCAGTTAGAAGCAGAGTACTAATGCCACAGAAACACTATTATCCATAAAGCAGTAGAAGTCAGACAGAAAGAACACCAGAAACATATTTCCAATTCTAGTAGCTTTCCATTACTGCACATGGAATTGAAGTTTAGGTCTTGTCTGTGGCCTCCTCAGAGGAATCCAATCTCTTGTCCCACAAGATCAACTTAAACTCCAACTAGTAGGAAATTCTAGCATCATGTACCTTCCTACCAGACACTTAAATTCAGTTACTCAGGGACTATCAAGGCTTCTCACTTTTCTAGGTTAGCTGAAATGTTTTAAATGGAATAGCACCATCCTTTAGGATTATTTGAGCTCTTGCATGCAGACACTTATGTAAATACTTCGTTATCACTTAAAACTAATGTTTTAAACATGGCCCATTTAGGATTTTGTAATAGTCTCTTAGACAAAATTAAATGCTTTCTAAATTAACATTAGTTTGGAAGTCCACCTACAAACCTCGACTCTTTTGCATCGCTGTCAGCGTTTGGCCCAGTGGGTGTTTTGTGTCACAGAATAGGCGCTCCAATCAATCTGACAGGCTGAACTGGAGCTAAAGGACTAGTTAAGTACTGAGCTCTTTCAAACAAATAGTCAAAGCAGAACGTTCTCTAACAAAACCACTTCATCCGGCAAAAGAACAGTGGGCTTTTGAAAGACAAGCACGCTGCACCACTGCCTCCCAGAGGCCTTGCTGCTGAGAGTGGCTCAAAACCTCCGAGTCATCATGGTTCCTCTGATGAGAAAGCCCTGTGAGGGACTCAGAGGCAAGAGGAGATTGCGTTTCACCTGCTCAACAGGAAAGTTTAATTTGACTTGCAATTTTTGGCAGTTCAGCTTAGCTTTAGCAATGAAAAACAAAATAAACAAAGACCCCCATGTCCCTGGGATTATCCTAATAGCTTTAAAATGGAACACCTGGAACTGCCCATAGGGCAGGGGTGTCAAACTCATTTTCACTGGGGGCCACATCAGTCCTGAGGTTGCCTTCAAAGGGCTGAATGTAATTTTAGGGCTGTGTAAGTGTAACGACTCCTTAACTAGGGGCAAGGAGCTTCACGCTGCCGCCATGTAGAAGCAAGGTGCCAGGCCAGATAAAAGAAGGTGGAGAGCTGGATTCAGCCCAGGAGCCTTGTGTTTGCCACCTGGGCCCACAGGGCTTAATTTACACTGAGGATGCTTCCAGAACACCACGCGGCCTTAGGATGGTGCTTCAGTTAAGCCCACTCTGAAATGATGCCTCAAATGCTAATGCCTCAAGTTTTGCCAAAGGAAATTTTCAACCACTCCCTAACCAGGGGTCAAGAGACAGCCAGAGGAGCTAGACAATCCCACGCTAATTAGGGGAATTCCAGACACCTCAAGACAACTATTATCCCAGCTACCTTTTTTTATATCTGATGCTCAGTCTTTGAGATATATACATCCACACACACTAGGAGGAGAAAGATCATCTAAAAGGAAATGAAAAGCTGTTTCCAAGATTACTTTCGTGCCCTCCTATATCATTTACCTACAAGCACAGAGAGGAAAGAGGACGAGAGGTGGAAGGAGGTTTCCACACAGAAAACATACACAAATGATTAAGCTTTTTTTTTAAAAAAAGCACATAGGTGAGGCTAAAATCCAAGTGTGCCTGTTGTAGGGAGTGGAGGAGTGGAAAGAATTCCGGGTCCACTGGAGACTTAGGCAGTGGAGGTACAGAACTAAAGAACCTATTGTTTTCTTGTGATATAGGCAAGCCCATCCCCCTCCAGTTAACAGCAAGGTGGGAGTCTGAGAACCAAGCAACTGGCAGGTGACGGCCCTTAAGGGGAAACAACCACCCATGCCTTGGCACAGAAGGCTCAGAAAAGCCTAGGTTCAAGGGAACTTATGAGTGAACCATTTCCCTGGATAATTGGGACGATGGAACGGAGATCCTACTTCCTTTCCAAATTTGAGGCAATGCAGGATGGATGATCAAGAAAGCAGTAAGTTCTATTACAACATGGGCTCCAATGAATAGGTACCAAGAAAGAATGGACTCCTCCCTCCACCCCCACAGCAAGAGGGCAGTGTTGCCCGGTTTGCGCGGATACGCCACGTGGGAAGAAGAACCAGGATTCTATACTGTCCTCAATGCCTCATTTTGGTTTGGGAGCGGAGCTCCGGATCCCACGTCCTACCTGGGCGGTGAGTGGAAACAGCAGCAGCAGCGCGCAGGCCGGCGCAGGCACCGAGCTCAGAGCCTCCTCCTCCAGCCCCAGCACGTCCACGAAGCGCCACTGGCCGGCAACCCCCAGCCGGGCCAGCACCTGCGGAGAGAAGACAAGGCGGCCAGGCTCCAGGAGACAGGCAAGTGGTGGGCACGTGCCGGAGGGCGGGGCATACTCTGCACTCCCTACGCGCCCCGCTAAGCCTGGGAGGAGCCCCCATTTGAGCCTAGGAGTCTCCGCCCCGTTCCCCACCTCTCCAGCGCAATGACACAGCACAAAGCGAGGTCCACACGTGGCTCCCGCGAAGCCCGGGCACCGGAGTCCTGCGGCCCGCGCCACGCCCTCGGGAGCTCCACGGGGCGCTCAACTCTGGGCGTAGCCTCCTCCTCCACCAGCATCCCACCCCCGCCCCGGTGCTGGGGGCAGAAGAAGAGCGTCCCGACCGCGCCCCAGCCCCCGCTCCCCTGGAGCTTGCAAGGCGCCGTTAAATCCCTGTGAAACCGCCGGAGCAGGTGGGCGCCTCCGGCACGGCGCCCCCGGGGGGATGGGACTGGAGCAGTACGAGACGCCACTCACTTTATTCAGCATCTGAAAGACAAATGCAAAGAAAAATACAAAAATAAAACCAGTGAGCAATACGGCTACCTGGCGTGGGCTGACCCTCTGTCCAGTGGTCCCCGGCCACTGTGCACCTGATGCTCACCTCGGGGTTAATCTCCATGGGTTTGAGCTGCATCTTCCCCAACCGCAGGTGAAATCACTACCCAAAGAAGAGGAAAAACAGCAAACGGAGCCGCCCAGGCTGTAGCTATAAAGCGCCGGCCTGACGCACTGTGGGTGCCTGCGCAGGGGGATCGGGGCAAAACCAACGAGGGGGAAACAGCAAAATGGGAGCGAACTCCCCTATGCGCATCGTGGAGTGGTACGGCCGGGCCCCCAAACCTTGCAGTCTCACTTGCTGGTGAGATAATCCGCTGGTTGTTGGAGATGGGTTTGTTGGTGGGTGTTCCTTTGAGTGTGTGAAGCAGTCCTTTTAATGGAGTCTAATTTTTTGCGAAGTTTCTGGAAACTCTTTCTTTCTGCCCTCCCAATTACCCGAAATCGCAGGGTTTCTGAAGCGTTGAGAAGAGGCCCCAATTCAACAGGTATATGTTTAATGTAAATATGTCTCCCAAATCTCAAGCAGTTTGCATTTACCTTAGACATTTCATCCTCCATGTTAAATCAGAGCAGAAGCCAGATTCGTCTTTTAATTGACTGACTAGAATAAAACACAGTCTGATATAACAGACATTGCATTAGTAATGCTGATGTAATGTGACTCCCTGGGAAGAATTGGTTGGTTCTGTGGAAGCTGTAGAAACCTGGAGGATGTGAGCGTAATATAGCACACAGAGACAGGAGGTAGGAGACTTCAGGAAACAGATCCAGGGAAAAAGTAGGTATGATTTCGAGATGAAAGGATGTAAAAAGAGAAACATTTGTTAAAGGACGGAGACTTTGAAAAATTAAATTCTGAGTTCAAAATAAAATACAGTGAGCAAGAAAAGGAATGGCAACTGAAGAAATCACTGTTCTCTAGTGATCTCAGGTGTGGTTTGTTCTTCCTATCCACGTATTAAAAAGATGGAGAGAAAAAGCATATGCTGAAGGATGAGTAAAAAGAGGGACAAACATCTAAGAACTATGCCGGGAAAGCAAAACCTCAGAATGAAGTGGGGTTTGCAGGAATACTGAAGAAGCAAGAAGATTGGGCATTTTTTAAAACATGTTTATAACAAAGTGATGATGGTGAAAGAGCAGACCTGTTTAATTCATAGATGACAGCGAGAAGGGAGGGAATCTATGTTATTGGCGTTACCACTTCTACAGATCTTTTGCATGTCATCTCATTTAATCCTTAGGGTATGCAATTAAGAAACTCTTAACAGTGCAATTTTACAGATTAGAATCCAAGGCTTAAAGAGGTGCTTTGCTTACCGTCACAACAGAAAAGTGAGACAGAAGTAAACTATGAAATTGGGCTCTAGGAGCGCATTCTCTACCCAAGATTTCACTGCACTCCATTTCTGTCTTCTTCCCATTTTAATCCATCAGAAAAATGGCCTTCACACAGTAAGTAAGAGGGGAAAAATGCAAAGAATTTAATGAATGGATTTATGATATGTAAATTATGTTCTAATAAAGTTCTTTTAAAAGAAAAAGACTGTGACTTAAAAGTCAAGACAGATGAATAGGTCGTACAAGAACACCTGGCTATGTTGAATGAGTTCTTGCCTTCAAACAGAGACAAATTATATCCCAATTCACTTCATTTATTCAACCAAATACTGATTAAGCACATACTACGTGATAGGCACAGAGCATGGAATTGGGGATACAAAGGCGTACCCAGTAAATAAACACGGAAACCTCCCTCTCAAAGATTTTATCAGTAGAGAGAGTGGTGTCAAGGAGAGTAGAGCTCAGGAGCACCTAACCTAGTGCAGGCAACCAGTAAGGCCCCCAAAAGTGAGTGACATTTAGGATAAGGGCTAATGGACAGGTAGATGGTTATTACCAAAGTAAATAGTAAAAGTGGTAGTGAAAACACTATGAGAAATCTTTTTAAAGGCATTCAATTATTCACTCAAATGCCTAAATCAAGTGTCTACTATGTGCCAAGAAGCATGAGATGAAACAATAAATGAAACAATTAAGCAATCACCTTGCCTGTTTACAAGGTGATGGCAGAAACAGAACATGAACAAACCTGATACTGATCTTCAAAAGGGGAAGGGAGACTTTGCTGAAACTACAGGCCAGGAGCTTTTATATCAATCATTAGCCAAATTCTAGGACTCATAATTTGTGAACCGCTAAAAAAAAATAGAATAGTTGCATTTAGAACGTGGTATGTCAGCCAGTATTTACCGCTTTTTCTTTAGAGGTTACTAGCTAGATAGACAGGCAGAACCCTTCTCATTATATTCTTCCTGGTGCCTGGGTTGGTGCCAATTGACATTATAGGTAAGTGGTCTTTCAGCTTTAAATGATTTAATTATTCAGTCTTAAAAACAGTGCTGCTGGACAGAGTAATCTCAACCTGCAGCCACCTAGCTGTGGTTTTCACCCTGCCTGGTGCAGTTTTATTAGAGCAGAGAGGTAGAGTGTGCATGCGTGCAAGTGAGAGGAAGCCATCTAAATTATGCTTTAGAAAAATGAGTTCAGAATAACACAATGAAGCAAAATAGAGATTTTGGTAATGGTTGTATGCTTTTATGAATATACCAAAAAAAACCTTTTAAGTGGGTGAATATATCTCAATAAAGTGGATAAAAAGCCAATAGAGATTGAAACTCTGCATGTCAATTATCATAGTATAGTTACTCTTCATATTCACCTTTTCATGATTTTATGGTTATATTAGTAATATTTATATTATTTTGTATGTAGTATATATTATAATGTAATAAAGTGGATTATATAATATGAATATAAAAATATCAAATAAGCAAGTTACAACATTATGATTATAACCATTTAAAAATGAATACGTGGGCAGTTGAACTGCTTCCACATCTTAGTGATTGTAATAATGCTGCAGTGAACATAAGGGTGCTTGTGTTCTTTTGAACTAATGTTTCAGGTTTCTTCTGATAAATACCCAGAAATGGAAGAAGGCAGTTCCATTTTTAATTTTTTGAGGGTTAGGATAGTCATAGGGAAGCATCAGTAGATGAATGGATAAAACGACTATGGGGCATTGACACAATGGAATATACTTGGCTATAAAAAGAAAAAAGAAAATTCTACCCCTTGCAACAGCATAGATGGACCTGGAGAACATTATGCTAAGTGAAATAAGCCAGTCAAAGAATGACAAATACTGTATGATTTCACTTATATGTGGAATTTACTGAACATTCTAAACTAACAGCAAAACAGAGAGAGACCCAGAGATAGAGAGCAGGTTGACAGCTTTGGGGCAAGGGTAGGGAGTGGAGGGATCCAGCAAAAAGGAAAAAGGACTCATGGACACAGACAACAGTGTGGTGATTGCTGGGGAGAGGGGGTATAAGGGGGATAAACAATAATGGAAAAAATACAATAAAAATTTTTTAATGAACCTGGCTGGTGTAGCTCAGTGGATTGAGTGCGGGCTGTGAACCAAAATGTCACAGGTTCAATTCCCAGTCAGGGTACATGTCTGGGTTGCGGGCCATGACCCCCAGCAACCCCACATTGATGTTTCTCACTCTCTCTCTCTCCCTCCCTTCCCTCTCTAAAAAATAAAATAAAATAAAATCTTTAAAAAATGGTTTTTAATGAATACCTAAAGAACAATGGAAGAACCTTTTAAAAAAATCAATTAAACATTTAAGGTAAACATGGAGCAGAGCTGTCACAGGTGGTGAAACAAAATCAGTGAGTTGTCCTTCATAAATAAAGATACCATTTCTGATTCACCAGCAGTAGATTTTTTACAAGTATGATTTTTCTAGTAAAAGTGAAGATTTAGGATGGATATTTTAGAAAATACCTTCTTATCATTCTGATGACTAATGAGACAGAGCTTCAAATGTCCTTGGCAGGTCAGTCCCACAGTGTTATTGGGAGTCAGTCCTGAAAGCCCATCTCCAAGGCTAGTCCTCCAGCCCTTCCACTGGTTTGGTGAGCACCTAATTCCATGTATTAAGTCCCTTTCTACTTAAACTACCCAACCAGCTGTGGGCTCCTCGATTAGTACTGCGTGCGCGCCTGCAGTGATGCATGAGGCCCTGCCACAGCATCCCTCAGTTCCTATTCCTGTGCGGTTGTAACAGTGGAAGTCAGAGGGCTCTGGTGAACCCAGACCAGCACCAGTGGTGTGAACGTAGGCAGATTAATAAGCCTCACTCTCTATCAGTTTTCTCAACATGAAAAGAAGGATTTCATGAACTCTGTGATTTCTCCCAATTCTGGCATATTCAAGGACCTACCTTGAACAGCAGAAAATAAAAGATGTATGGATGAAACCATATAAGCGTTTCAGTTAAGTCTACTTTTATCTCTAATTCCTTAATTTTAGCCATCAAGTTTTTTTAATGTCACCAGGATATAATAAACAAGATTTATCAGTTTAAGTTTGTTTCTGAAGGTGCTTTAGAGATATTGGTTACATATTTTCTTTTACTAGGAGACTGGTGTATAAGGAATATGATAAGCAGGAAAAAAATTAAGTCTATAAATATACCAGGAAGAAATGCTTTCTTGAGAACACTGCTGAGTTCTAACCAAGCATTTTTTTTTCAGAATCTTTAGAGTGAATAAATCAATATATAGATGTTGAGTGTCCTGGCCTTACCTGGACATTTAGCTTCAATAGCCTAAGAATATGAAACAATTGCTTTTAAAAATTCTGAACAAGTTAAATTAGGGAGAAAAAACCCTCGACCCATAAATCCACTACCCTAAGAAATTTACTGTTTCATTTCTTCACATATGCCTTCTATGTGTATAGCAAATTCAGTTGGGTTCCCAACCAAAAGGTATCCTCCCTCGCCCGCCCGGCTGCCCACTGTTGTAGCCCCAGCTCAACACTGCTTTCTCTGATCCCAGCTCAAATCCACTTTCTTTTGGGAGCGAAGGGGTCGAGGAGGCGGAAGGGGGTTTGTGCTCGGAGATCTGTTTTGCCTCTTGTGAGACCAACAGTATTTCAATAATGTGCCCCGAGCAGTGAGTTAGCGCAGTGAGTTAGTGCACCGTCAGTGGGAGAGCCCTGAGGCCAGCCATGTTGCCAGACACAGGTGTTGTGTTTGTTTGTTCTTACCAGCTCCCCCTCACCGGCAGCCCTCACTGCTCAAAATCTGCGCTTTTGTGAAA